CAACAAATATTTATTAAGTGCCTGCATGCCAGGTACTGTGCTAAGCACTGGGGATACAAATAAAGGCAAAAGACAGTCTCAGCTTTTGTCTAATGATGGACTGGGAATCAAGGGACTTGGGTTCAAATCCCTGCTTTGCCATTTATTACTTGTGTGACTTTGGGCAAATCACTTAAACTTTCTGGGCCCCAGATTCCTCATTGTATGATAGGTTTGGACTAAGTGACATCTAAAGCCCCTTTCCAATAAAAATTTATGATCATAAAATTATGATTCTATCATAAATTTATGAATTTATGATAATTCCCTATCTAAAAAAAATTCATGTCAAGATTAGGATTATCTAATTCACCATTAGCCTGAAAATCCAGTATAACGCCATTCTCAAGAGATAAGAGAGAAATATATAATATTGTCTTTGTTGAATTAACAATACTCAGCACAAAAGATTAAGTACTCTAGGTGTTTGCATGGCAACTTTGTAAACCCAATTGGCAAGTGATTCCTTTTTGTCCTACTTAAAATGTAATATGAGCTTTCCTTTGTTCATGTTAAGTTTAGCCACCTAACAATAGAGTTTGAACTTTTAAATAATACTTTCAATTAAGTCAATATGATGCAAATTTCCATACCTTGGTACTAATTTGTAGCTATTACCTTTAGGGGTTAAATGTATAAAAATTCTAGAGTTTTACTGAATGTCTTCCATAGGATACAGGACTTTTTGTTATCAGAAACATTGGCTTTTGGAATGGAATTGAATTTATAAAATCATATGGGTGATTAACAAATTAAATAATAACCATCAACATAGCTCATTATAATCAACATATAATATTTACACATTGATAAGAGCATGTGATAATTATTGTTGACATCAACAATAATTTTAAATAATATACATACATGGCTAAAAACTCATAAATATGCATTTCTTGGTCATAACTTTTGGTTGCGATTTGTAAACTTGAGATAAAGGTCTGCATTCCATTTCTAATTCCCTAAACTATACCCAACTCTTTGAGGAAATTATGACACAGGGGAACTTTTCCATTTACTTGAATTGCTTTTCTCAGAAATAATTGATGTTTTTTTAATGTGGTAATCATTTAAAAACTCACAGCCAAAATCTAGACACATCAAAAATTGATGAAACTAAAAATCCAGACTAGAAATAAGTGGTTTGCTTCTGCTTTTGTGGTTTAACTAAAAGTAGATTAAATATATCTGAAATTCCTTATCCTATGTATTTTGTAGTTAATAACAGAGAAATTTAATGTGCTATGGTAAGGATATGAAGAAAAATTAGAAAAGTAGCATGCTATTTAATGTCTATTTCACTGGAAACCTTATTTTTTATGCTTTTGCCATTTCAATGTTCTTTTTGTTTCACACCTTCCAGTTATAATTATACTGCAACACTTGCTACCAAAAAGAAACATAAAATAATTCCCTAAAGTTCTAGTGAATGTTTCCCCAAAAAATCTGTAAAGAGAACATAATGCCATTATCTCTAACAAAAAAGCCAAATGCCAAAAGTCGATGAATGATAAAACATTATACATTTATTGCATCCTTCAATATTCAAAGAATCTGTGATTTTGTGGACTGTGTGCTCCCTTCACCGATGTGGACTGAAATCTCTTTCGCTTACTTAATTTTTGACAGTTGCTACAGTCAAGAAATTCATTATTCTGGTGGTGAGACATATTTTCTGTATTTTACAGAAAAAAATAAAACAAACCAAAAAACCTTACATCTAAACATGTTAGACAAGCAAAATGAATAATTCATCTCTTCTAAAATGTTTGATCATTATGATTAATACAGAAAGAACCATAAAGTTGCCCAAAGATGAACTGAACTATTGCCAGCTTTTTTGATCATTCCTAATAATTGGAAAGAGAACTATTAAACATAATGTTTTTATTTTGGAAAAGAATGTTTTGTTTGCCCAACAGGTTTACCTTCTTAATTGTACTTTTCTTAAGATAAATTGTGCGTGTTCAATGAGCACATATTGACTGAAAAGGAAGCCTTTCTTGGTCCCTTGCTCTTAATATCTTCCCCTTTCCCCTCACCCCCTTAAAGGGCCTTCCATCAAAGTTGTATCTAATTTGTATGCACTTAGATAAATACATATTTTCTCCTTTGTTAGAATGTAAGCTCCTTGAGGATAGGGGTTGTCTTTTTCCTTTTATTTGTATGGCTCCTATTAAGCATGAATCCATGCTTGTTGCCTTGACTTGATGACTTGTTGGCTGCTGGTGGGTGATTAAATTGTTGAGAAATTTATTAGATGGCAGGCAAAGTCAAAACAGGAATTCAGAAGTTTATGTCAGCTAATTCACATATGGGCAATTGAAAGGGGCCTATGCATCTATTTGGAAAATAATTTTGTCATGGTATCAACAATGTAGATTATGGTATAATATACTGGTTTTAATATCACTTCTAGGTTTGTATCCCAAAGAAATCATAAAAATGGGAAAATGACCTACATGCACAAAAATATTTATAGCAACTCTTTTTGTGGTGGCCAAGAATTGGAAATTGAGGAGATGCCCATCAATTGGCTGAACAAGTTGTGGTATATGAATATAATGGAATACTATTGTCCTATAAGAAATGATAAGCAGGCTGACATCAGAAAATCCTGGAAAGACTTATATGAATTGATACAGAGTAAAATAAGCAGAACCAGGAGAACATACACAGTAATAGCCATACTGTGCAATGACTGACTTTGATTGACTTAGCTCTTCTCAGAAATGCAAAGATCTAAGACAACTCCAAAAGACTCATGATGGAAAATGCCATCCACATCCAGAAAAAGAACTATGGAGTTTAAACACAAATCAAAGCATACTATTTTCTCTCTCTTTCTCTGTTTTTTTCTTTGTATCTTCTCTCTTGTGGTTTCTCCCATTAGTTCTAATTCTTCTTTATAACATGACTAATGTGAAAATGTTTAATATGAATGTATATGTGTAGCCTATAACCGATTGCACGCCATCTTGGGGAAGAGGGAAGGGAGAGAAGGGGAGAAAATTTAGAGCTCAAAATCTTATGGAAGTGAATGTTGAAAACTAAAAATAAATTAATTAATTAATAAAAAATATACTGTCTTTATAATAAGACCTTCCTGAAAGTTGGGAGGGTCAGCTTATTCAGTGAATAAGATAATTAGTATTTTAAATGATCTCCACAGGCTAAAACAATGGCCTTAAATAAACAAGATAAAATGACACAAGGATATGTGTAAAGTTTCAAAAATTTAAAAGTCCAAGATGAGGCAGACATACTTTTCTAGCAGGTTCCATGAAAAAAGTCAGGGGTGTTAAATAAATAATCACAAGCTCGATAAATACTAACAGTAAAGAAAAACAAATAAATAAATGCAATCCTATGTTGCATTATTAGGAGGGCAGAAGTCAAGCAATAATTTTGTTGTACTTTCTTGGTTAGACTACACCAAGGGTGTTATGTTCAGCAACTGGAACATTAAATTAAAAAGATCACTGCTAAATCACCATTTGGCCTAAGAAAGCAGTGTACTAGAGTGATAGTGTCACAGAACCTGAGTTTACTAGATTCCATCCCTGATATTGAGTAACTGTGTGAATAACCTTGGAGAGATTACTTAAACCTTCCTTTTTAAAATTTTCCTCAACAAATAAATGAGGAGATTGGACTAGATGGCCTCTGTGGTCCTTTTCAACTTTAGAGGTAAGATTTTATTCTCCTAAGACAATGGGAAGGAATCTAGAAACCATCTCCCCTGAGTACCAGCTGTAGGAACTAGAGACGATAATTTACCTAAGATGTGATCAGGGACTTCAAGTATTCGAAGAACTGCTACATGAGGGAAGGAGTAAATTTATTTTGTGCTTCTCGATAGGACTGAACTAGGCCCAATAGGCCTATAGATTTCAGTTTGATCCACAGAAGGACTTCTTACTAAGAGGAGTCAGCAATGGAGGGGGCTGCCTTAGAAAGTAATCACCTCCTTGGCACTGGAAGTGTTCAAGCAGATGCTGGAAGCCCATCTACTAGATGTGTCATTGTCAGGATTCCTACATTGGATACGAAGTTAAAAGGAGTAACCTCTAAGTTCCTTTCCAACTCTGAGACTATGAAATTAGAAACCTTGATAATACAATAGTTTAATATTGAAATATAATATTGTACTGGTTCAGTTTCAGAGGTATCCTGGCAGTGAAAGATTTCTAGAAAAAAAGTACATTTCTAAATTTTCCTCCATAGACACAAATATTTGCTAGTTCCTTGTACAACTGAACTTAAGAGTTGGCGCAGTGGATAGAGCATCAGCCCTGGATTCAGGAGGACCTGAGTTCAAATCCAGCCTCAGACACATAACACTTACTAGCTGTGTGACCCTGGGCAAGTCACTTAACCCCATTGCCTAGCCCCTCCCCCCCCAAAAAAAGAGTTTTCCTGGAGAAAAGTGCCAGAAGAAAAGTGAGGACTGTTTCCAGGGGCATGTTAGAGCCACCCCTGTTAGAGCTAGAGACGATTGTTAAATTTTCAATGTGAGCATTTACACTTGGGAAATCAGTGAATCCTATATAGAGCCTTATTTGTTGTTTTACTGATTGTCCAGACCTAAGAAAGTGATGGAGAAAATGTTAAGTACTTAGATTAAATTTCAAAGTGATTTTCAGAGAAGCGGTTGTTAAAGATTTACTAACATAATCCTGAGTGTTGTCATGTTAAAAGTTGACAAGGAGTACCATACAGATGGATGAGGGGAAGAAATGGGTGATGTAATGAAGATATCATGGTGACCAGCGTAAGATGCTAAGGAGGGTTAGCTCTGACCTAGGAAGTCCTGGTTGGATGGTGAGGATGGAAGGCGTATAACATTAGTCCTGGGAGAGTCATACTACAACTCTCTATACACGTGTATTTATTAATCACACCCATGCCCATTACCCACACCTTCACCCACACCCACATTAATGGATCCAAACTCTTACTGTCATTTCTTAGGAAGTTATTTAGCAGTTGGAAAAGTGGAAAACTATCCCAAGAATCTTGTGGCTGAGCCTCTAGTGCTGAATCCATATCCACAGTAAATAATGACCAAAATTTCTCTGCATGTTCGGCCAACAGATCTGGCCACCAAGCAAACGCCTAGCAAAGGATAAAGAAAGAAGATTTGTTAGAAACATAAAGATATGCCAGTGCCTACACTTAATGATATTGTGAAAGTTCTTAAATAAAATGAAAACTTTTTTCAAGAAAAAAAATGAAATTTCATATGAATAATAAAAGAAAAAGAAAACCAGAAACAATGGCCTATTATAGTATGAAAAATAAACATTATCTCTGCAATCTAAAAATTAATATTTAATTTTTTAAAAGTTCCCTTGGCTGGATCTTTAAAATTTTTTTTTTCTAAAACATGATTAGTTGTCTTTGTGATATTTTCAAGAGAAGAAAAACTAGGAGAACATTTTCCCTCATTCACACTTTTAAGAAAATGTCAGTTTCATAATAGCTTTACACAATGAAAAAGAACACACCTCAATTTGGAAATACCAGCTATTTTAATTATTGTTGTAATTAATTTTTTTAAGAGCAAGCCTTTCCACATTTATTTTCAGTGGCATACTAGGAACCTAAGGCTTATCCCTGAAAAACCTATTGAACTTCTGCTTTTAAGAAAATGAACTGTTCAATGCGGACTTTTAAGATTTTGCTGTAAAACAGTTAATTCATAGTAACTATAGGCCCCCAAGAATTGGTGATTAAAAGAAATTGGGATCAGTATACGTATGGAGAGGAGATTTTCAGTGTAAGCTAACTTTAAAAATTCTTGCTAGATACTATGCCTCTTAGAATGGGTATGAAATACAAACAGGAAACTTGAGGAATGCAGTAGCAAGAAAGATGCGCATCCCATATTTTTGCTCTCTTTTCAAGGCATATTGATGGTAAATTAGAAAGGACTCTCAGAATCCTCATTGTAAGTGATGAGAGACAGAACACAGTGTCTGGGATACTGTATTTGCTTAACAAGTGCTTATTGCTTGATTAAGTAATATCCTATTACCTCAAAGAAATGTTTTCCAAAGATACACATTAGTTATAACATAGTCACTACCACTAAAAGAAGTTAAAATTAAGAAAATAACAATCATGATGTTCTAGGACACTTAGATAACATCAATTCCTTGTATACTTTTTAAGGTTAATGCTCATAGTAGTCTCCAAGGAGAGTGAGACTAGAAGAAATTTAAGTTTCTGACAGCTTCTTAATGGCCAGATTCTGAGTTTTTCCTCCAAAATTTAATAAAGTATTAGGAAAAACCTACAAAAAAATCCTACTGTGAAGCTTTGTCAGATAGGAGGTGAATCCATTTTTGCCAAAGCTATACCAGTGGGATATAAGTTCTGATGACCTCTGCCAAGCTGGAAAGGCCTTCCTTATCCATCATCCAGGTAACCAAATGTATTGTCTCAGAAGTCCAGTCATGAGAGAAGCTCAAGATCATTAGTTTGGACAATAAATGATTAAGTTATTTTTAACCATAGTGATCTATAAAACATAAACAAATACAAAATAGACTTCAATCTGTTGACTGTATGGCAGCAATCTCTCACTTGTTCTACAGTGACGGTGGGAAGGAAGAAATGAAATGAAAGGAAGAAGGAAGGGAGGGAGGAAGGGAGGAAAGAGGAAACATGCATTGAATTATTGTCCTCTGTAAACATAAGGTCTAGCACTATCCCAGCTAGGGCCTCAAACACCACATTAAACATCCAAATGACCAAGGCCTCAAAGACCATTCCAGAGAACTGAGTTGATGTTCCATGTACGGGATATCTCCTGGATATACATACCTCCATTCTCTCCCATCTTGGGATGAGGTGTTTTATGTGAATTTAGTCTATCCTTCGAGCATACTATCATCCAGGTATTTATTGATTCAGACTACTGGCCCCAGCTATGCAGTATCTAGAGAATAACATCAAACCAGTGCCATCATAGGATCCTGAAGGGTCTGGCCCCAACCAACTGGCACTCCTCTAATCCTACGGTGATTCAGAGTTGCTTTCTGCTAAGGCAGCATCTCCTTCCCCTGCTACTTCTTCCCAAACTTTGGTTATCATTGCTGCAGAACCATACCCTTCTCTAGTCCCTTTCCTTCTCAACTCTATTGTATTTATATCTCTGTTTACCTGTTTTTATCCATCAATAAATGTAAGCTGCTTGAGAGTGGCAGGACTTTTTATCTTTGTATCCCCAGCACAGTTAGATGGCAGAGTGGATAGAGCACCAGACCTAAAGTCAGGAAGACTAATCTTCCCGAGTTCAAATCTGGCTTTAGATACTTATTAGCTGTATGACCGTGGTCAAGTTACTTAACTCTGTTTGCCTCAGTTCTTCATCTGTAAAATGAGCTGGAGAAGAAAATAGTAAACCACTCCAGTATCTTTGCCAAGAAAATCCCAAATGGAGTCACAAAGAGTCAGACACAACTGAAACGGCTGAACAACAAAATCCCTAGAACAGGATCTTACACACAGTAGCTGCTTAATAAATGCTTGTTGAATTGAATTGATTGGGATAATGGAGAGTGCCCTGGATCGTGAATAGGCTCCTGGATTTTAGTCCTGATTCTGCCACTAATTAGCAGTGTGTCCTTGAGCAAGTCACTTTACCAGAGCTTGCTTTCCTCATCTATTAGATGATATCTACAACCCCTAAGTTCTACATAGTCAGACTATAGGGCTGAAAGAGTTTACAGGAGAGTATTGGAGCATGAACATCTTGTTCCTCTGGAACCATGTCAATTATGACACCTTGTATTTGGATGGACTTACTGGTTCAACCAAAAATTCTTGTCAATAGCTATCTAAGAAGTCAGTTATTGTGAGTGGATATTTAGTCTTGAGGTTCACCAGAAAAGATTATCCAACCTTCTTAAGAAGAAGGAGGAGGAATTGTGAGGCAGGGCTGAGAGAGGAGGTCAAGAGGCCTTCAGAGTGAGGGAGAAAAGTCTTCAAAGGAAAGTTACTGTCAAAGATCTGAAGGAGAAGAAACCTGCTTATCTGAAAATTTGCCGAAGGATAGAAGCAACCTTTTAGCCTTGAAAAGTAAACTGCCACTGTGAACAGAAGTAAAATGGAAATAAAAGGACCTGACACATGAGCCACTTTAAGGTCTCTTGGAGGCAGACAGATTAACCTCTGCCAAGGGAGCTGATCTGGGCACTCTTTCAAGGAGTCAGGAAACTGGTTTGAACATACAGCAAAATAAATATTAGACCAAAGAGCTTGAACACTGATTCACTTTGGCGATGACATAGCAAACCAGAAAATTCACTCTCCATAAATGTCTAGAGAAAGTTAGATTTGTTGGTGAATGAAAAAAATCCCCAAGACACATTGATTCCCTGAGATGGGTAACCGGAATATTGGTGATATGTCATTAATCAGTGGTAACACACACCCGTACAGCACTACAACACCTAGCCTAATTAGAGAATGACTCCTACTCTTGAGTTTCAAGGAGGAGGATAAAAATGTTTTTAAAAATGAGAAATAATCAGAATTTTTTTTTATAATATAGTGTCATCAAATAGAGATCCATACTAGAAAAATGGGTAAAACAATGTTATTTTGTGCAAGATGGGACACATACCTCTCTTCCCTGAGGGAATCCAAGGATTTGAAAGCATTGTAGAATGGGAAAACATTACAATATTAAAAAATGTTAACAAGAATTCATTGTCATAATTTTATGATGAAATTTGTGTTTTCTGTTTCCAGCTGCTGTACAGTGATTGTCTTGTGTAAAGGTGGCCTGTATTCAATAAATTTCAATTTTTTTTGGAGGTTGGAAAATAATATCAGCTTTTTGTTTTGTTGGTACCCATTACATTTTAATATGTATATCAGTTTTCCTGCAAATTTTAATTGTAATTGCAATGAGTATGTAACATTTAATAATTACCTTTAAATGGTAGGAAATGAGGATCATAATAGAGTAATGAGTTTGAACCTTGCATAATTACCATTTTCCTTACTGGTGCTAGTAAAGAAAAAACTATCTGGACCATAAAGAAAATCTATTTCTTTTACAGAAAAGTACACTGTATTTTGGTATCCAATCAGAATTAGTTTTTTTTTAAATTTGTAAAAGCCTAATACTTTGATGATAATGCTTTGCAACAAAAGACAAAGAGAAAACACATCTATTTTATCAAATAATCATTTGCAGTATAACACAGCAGTGATACTAGTGTAGAATAGAACCTCCTGGGAATTCATCTCAAATTATTGAAGCAGCTGTTTCTTCAGTTTAAAATAAAATATCCATAACAAGTTCACACATGACAGATGCAACGTAAAAACTAGATTCCACAGTGTGAGCGAAAAGCAGATGTTTTGAATGATCATATTTATAACCAGATACAATAAATCTTCGTTTAACCATGGTATGGTTTCATGGATATTTTTATTCAAGGAGTTGTTTAAAATGTACTTCCTGTAGTTTCTTACATCTTTTGAGAGCAAGGTTTCATTAAATGTAAATACCCTATAAATTTTATATACACACACACACACACACACACATATATATATTATATATATATGTCTGTCCTTGTACATTCCTGCTCACTTCTTATGGTTCCTCAATAACCAACCAAACTGATTCTATAGTACTCAATTTTATTATGCCTTATGTAAAGAGAGCTTCCTCTTCTCTCCTTCAGCAAAAAAGAAAAGAAAAAAAAAAAAGAAATTTCTTTCATTATTGTGAATAAAACCCCTGATCTTATGTGGGGTCATTTTTAGGGTTTAAAATAGGAGAATCAATATTGCTTTTAACACGTTCAGATAATCTTAATTTGACATTAGCATCTGAAAACCATTGTTTTTTTTATCAATTAAAACAGTGAAAACTGATTTTACATATATATTATATATATATATATGGCTAGCACGTATATAGGCTTTAAGGTTAGCAAAGTGCTTTATCTATGTTAATTGAATTTAAAGATTTGAGAAACTTGAGTAAAAGGGGTAGAAATCTGAAATTCATCCATTACTTGGAAGTTTCTAGAGAATTTCTGATTCGATACTATACAAACAACCCTTAAAGCACTATAGAGTTGCCAACTATTACGATTATCTCCCAAGCCAGAATTGCTCTCTTTCTTCTCTATATTGTCATAACTTTGTACATCTCAATGGACTTGTACATTGTCTTTTATTTATAGATATCTGTGTACAAGTCTTACTTTTCCCACTTGACCCCAAGCTCCAACACGGCTATGGGAGGCAGTGGGACATAGTGGATACAGTGCTGGACATGCAGTCAAGAAGGCTTGGATTTGTGAATCCTGCCTCAAACACTTACTAGCTGAGTGATTTGGGGCAAGTCTATTAACCTGAGCCTCAGTTTCTTCATTTGTGAAATAAGGAGCCCTGGATGATCTCTAAGGTCCCTTCAAGCTCTGAATCGATGACCCCTTGTCTGATTCTTCATTTTATCCCCTCAAAGCAACCTGCTCATTGCCCTGTACATGGCAGATACTCAATATCTACATATTTTCTTGAACTGAACTGCTTTAAAACTACACATGCTTTCCATGTCATTTTATCACCTTCTGGTGCTATCACTAGTCTCTCTCTTTTTATGTCTTTCAATTTCTATTTCTGAACCAAGGATTCCATCAAGGGAATGCAAGTAAAATTTGATTTCTGTTCATTTTACATAAACTTCTTTCCCTGAAGGTAAGTGGCCTGATATGCATCAAGGATCATGGCTAACCTGCTCTTTAGTGTTGCTCCCATTAAAGGGAAGAGAAGTGCCTGGGGTATTATTCTACATTAAAAACCATTTTCCTCACCTCTGAATGATGCTCTTCATTCTGCTGTAATACCTCTATGCAGAGCTCTGCTAGATGAAGGACCTCTTCTAGCTTTCTAGCAGGAGCAGCTTGGTTCATGATCTCTATGGCAAAAAGGAGAATTACAATGATATTACCTTGGAAAGTCTCAACCAAGACAAACACATATTCTAACAGTGCTGAAATAAGAGTACGGAGGGATGGTAGTTGGCTTTTTTTTTTTGGAAGGAATAAATGATTCAAGACAACAGATACTCTACAATACAAATGAATACACAATTGTAACAACAGCAAATCCCAGCTCACCAGATTATAGAAAATATTTCACCCTCAAAGCAATCACAGGCAATGGAGAGCACTTTTATGTTTAATTCAGAGAACTAACAGGTGAGTCAGTACATTAGATGCTCAACTTCTGTAATAAACAAGTTATAATTTTCTTCAAGGTCAGGAATACAAAGAGAGAAGCTACCATGAATTTCTCTCTCTCTCTCCCTCCCTTTCATTGTATCATCAATACAATGCCATCCTCACAGATGAGTCATCCCTGCAATTTGCAAAACCTGGTTATGTAGTGGTAGTTGTTGTTGCCATTGAAATTTCATGCCTGAAATGTCTATAGTTTAGGTGATCACAAAATTAAAAAAAAATAAAAGTACAAAGTCACCTAAAACCACTCTGACAGCATGCAATTAACTGATTTCCTTCCCAGCTCTCCCTTCGAAATAACCCACAGTTCTTTGAAGCTGAAGGTTCTTTCATTGTTGTAGCAAAACTAGTGCTCTAAAAAGACAGCTCAGAATAGGATTATAAAGCAGTGATCCAAAACTCAGTACCAATGAAAGCAAATAGCTCATTGAAGAGACACAACTAATTTGGCAGCAATGAGAGACGGATGTTACCAATATTGAAAATGTTTCTAAATGTTGATTTACAAAAGAGAACTTCAAGTAGGAAGTAAAGGGCATTCAAAATAAACAGTTCTTTGGCTGGATGGGCCCACTACATCAAGCAAGTTGTAGAAAGGGCATTAAAGCTTTTAGGGAATAAAGATCTCTTCTCTGGGAAGCCTCGGGGCTCTTTTTTTCCTGCTGAAGAGCCTTCTACTTCATTTTCTCACCACCCCATCTCAACACCCCAGGGGATTTACTTGGAAGAAGAGTCTTTTCTACTTTATTTATTTCTCAGATTTCTTCCTCTCTGGGCCAAGTAAAGGGGCCAGTCACCAGAGCCACTCTGGTTCTGTGTCAGGAGGAAAAAATGTTCTATTTCTGTATTCAGGAGTATCTAGTAAACCTAGCCACTTTCTTTTCTCACTCAAATTTATCTTCTTTCTACTCTTTTCTTCCTTATTCAACTGCAGATGGAGAAATGGGTACATGTGATGAGAGAGACGTGCTGTCTGAATATGCTTTGGGGGAAGATAAACAATATAAAAGTGTCCCTTTTTCACTACCTCCAAGTCCATCCCTGCCCTCCCAGTGCAGCCACATCCCCCAGCAAGATGAAAGTTTTGGCTGTCTAGCTTATGGCAGGGGTAAAGGAATATGGAAACCCAGATTCTCTGGAAGATGCTCAGAGCATGAACCATTTTCACAAAGTCACAAATACCATCACTCTACTATTCCATTCACTATTAGGATATGAAAACAAAAGCTCTAATTTAAGGAGCTCAGATTCATCCATTCTTAAATATGCAAGGGACAACTGAAGGACATAGAACAACTTAGCCCCAAGTGGAAAAATCTCTCCTACAACATCCCTGTAAATAATTTTCTACCTCCCAGGAAACACATTCTTTATTAAGGATCTATATTGTTGGACAGATCTAATTAAAACAATCTAGTTGGATGGGTGTCATATGCACATCCAAATAAAGGGAGTGCCAAACAAGTGGTGCCCAATTTTAGTATTGATTGAAACACTTGCACAGACAAACATTAATGTCCTTGAAAATATATTTTATGCCAGGGGTCAGCTAATTACCACTCAAGGACAAAATCTAGTACACCACCTGTTGTGTTTTTTTTTTTTGTACAGCCTGCAAGCTAAAAATGGTTTTTACATTTTTTGAACACAGTAAAACTTTATTTTAAAATGTAAAAACCATTCTTAACTTGTGGACTGTACAAAAACAGAAGGTGGGCTGGATTTGACCCAATGACCCACATCACAAGGCAGGAATGTGCTGACTCTTGTTTTACACAACTACTTATAAGCAAATTGTAGGTAATATCCTACTTATGCTGAATTTATGCCCAGCAAGTTACAGGTAGCTGCCTACTCATGGCCAGTGTTCATTTTTCCAATGCCCTTCCAATTATCTATAATTTTAAACTCATCTGAAATACACACACACAAAGAAAGATTTTAAGCCACATAGCACGACTACTGGGATAATATTTAAGTAAGATTTTATAGCAACGAGCAGGCTGGGATCTTTCAAAGTAAGACATGATTTCCCAAATACTCTTCAGTCTGATCTAATACTCATTTCTGGGCCTATCATTTATATGTAGTATTTATTGAAAAGCTATGTACTAAAAACTAATTTGACATACCACTTGCCCAGCTAGTCTGGACAATACTACTTTTAACCTACTTTAGATCATTTGTCAAATTTCTTTCACAATGTAGTGGTTTTCACTCCAGAGACTAATTTTCTTGGGCCTAATATAATTATTACATTGGCTGCTATGAAAAAGCACATTTGTATAACCTCAAAAGCTCTAGAGAAGCTTCCTTTTTTTATGCAAAGCACTTTCCATGACACCAGTCAACATTTCTCGTTAACATATATATTTCTGTTTTACTTCTCACTTGACGTCAATATTCAGCAGGTCACTGAATGAAGTTATCTTCACAGTCAAGTATATCATAGTTCTATAACCTTAGTGTATGCAGACACTTTTCAGGGTTACATTTTGTTTTTCCTACTGAGTTAAATACCATTTTAAAATCACTGAACCATAAACACAGTAGGATCTGTATTTTCTATATCCCTTAGTGAATTGTCTGATTCTAAAGGTGTGGTTTCATGTAGAAATTGCTTACAAAGCTTGTCTTTCCTCCTCTCCCATTTTCATAAAAAATACCTTTGAAGCTTGTAGAGACATTTGATATAAAGATCTTATAGAGATGATTGTATGATTGTGGAGAAGGAGCATAACTCTTGAGTTCTTCCAAGGTGATGACAAATAACCTGTCAGTGGAAAACACCTCCTTCACTGCTACTCATGTGTGGGGCTCTCGAATTGTCTTGTAATTGGTCTCTCTACCTTCAGCATCCCCTCACTTCAATCCATTTTCCAAGTTTGACAATATTTCTCCTGCCTCCTACTCAATAAATTCCAGTGGCCCCCTATTACCTTCAGAATCAAATATAAAATCTTCCATCTGGCATTCAAAGCCCTTCACAACCTGACCCCTTCTTACCTTTCCAGTTATCTTACACTTTACTTCCCTCCATTCATTTTACAATTCAGTTACACCAGACTACTTGTTATTCTTCACACATGACACTTCCTGGCTTTATATATTTGTATGAGGTATCCCCCATGCCTGAAAACTTCTCCTTAACCTACAAGTCCTAGCTCTCTTGGCTTACTTCACAATTTAGCTCAAATTCCATGTTCTCTAGCCCATTAGAATGTAAGTTCCTTGGAAGCAGGGACTATGTTTTTGCCTTTCTTTGCATCCCCAGCATTTAGCACAGTGCCTGGAACACAGTAAAGGCTTATTAAATACTTGTTGACTAACTAACCCTGTTTGCTTTAAACAGGGTAAGTATGCCAGTTCACTGATGGCAACAGGTCTGGAATAGAATCTTTGGCTTCTAGTCAAACCATGATCTGATACTGTCTATTTGTCTTTTTTTTTTTTTGGCTAGGCAATAGGGTTAAGTGACTTGCCCAGGATCACACAGCTAGTAAGTATTACGTGTCTGAGGCCGGATTTGAACTCAAGTCCTCCTGACTCCAGAGCCGGTGCTCTATCCACTGCACCATGATACTATCTATTTGAAAGCATCAGACTGAATCCTTTATTCAAAATTCACACTCATAAGTTTCCTTTGTTCTTAAGAGTCCATTACTTACTTCCTAACAGCTCATTTATAAAATGGAGCGATTAAAGATTTAAAGGTCCATTGCAAAACCTACTCCCTCATTTTTCAGATTAGGAAGCTGAATTACAAAGAAGTTAAGGGACTTGTCCAAGGTCATGTGGGAGTTAAGCATCAGAGCCAGGAATCAAACTGGGGTCCTGCACCTCAAAATCCAGTACACTAATACACCAGACTGCCTCTAAAATAAAGTAAATCCTTTTGATCTCCATCTCTCAGAAAAGGATAAAAGACCAATACAAATTGTAAATAACAGAGGTTGAGAGTTTGAGGAGTTGATGATAAAATGAAAACCCCAACCCTTTATACATGTTTGAAATGAGAAGAAATCATTATTGTGGTTACCTGAAAACTTCTGTCTAGGTTGAAAGCCCATTAGAGTGTTAAAAGCTCCTTTTACATTTCAGAGTGTCTTACATAAAAACAAATAGAGATGGCACACTCTTTCTTTGAAATGATAAAATGCTATGAATCATGTCACCCTTTCTAGATTCAAGATAATGACAATACTCAAACTCCATACTCATATATAATGGCCTCTTCAACACATTAAACAAACTCCAATTCATCAAGTGTTAGGTATTTTGCTTTTTTCTTTGTTTCATAGGTTTCCATGGTCAAAAATTTTATCACCAAGCGGCCAGTCTATTGGTTCTAAGGCTCTCCAGACTCAGCTAGCTCAGCTGGTCCTTGAAAATTAGATATCTTTTGTCTGCTGGGGCCATATTGGAAGTCTTTCCAGAATGGAAAAATCTGCTAGATCTCTCAGTCTGTTGGGAAAGCCAGGGCCATCACTATGCCATGATGAAATGCTGGAATAGGACTTTGTACTCCGTGGTTCTGTACAACTCCCTTCTGCTTCTGGGTTGGAGGTGGCGGGGGGAGGAAAGAGAGTGCTAAGAATCACAGTATTAGACTGTCAATAAACATAAACATTAACTTAGCTCTTGGTACTCTGAACGTGAGCCCCTTGTCTAGTGA